GACTCAGTAGTTATTTTATTGTTTGTTGCTTAAGAGTTGATATTGCTTTGAACGAGAAGGAAGCTTGCAACTTAATTAAAAATGTTCAAACTATGATTATGGGTTTGTAAAAAGTTCCATAGTATGTAACTGGTGTGGTGTGGTATTCAGATAATATGCAGTTAAAAAAGTTCCATAATCTATAACTAATCTAGTGGTGCATTCAGATAATCTGCACTTAAAAAAGTTCTGTAACTAATCTAGTGGAGCATTCAAATAATCTATAGTCGAAAACAGTTTCATAGTCTATAATTAATTTGGTGGTACATTCAGGTAATTTGCAGCTGAAAAAAGTTCCATGGTCTAATAACTAATCTAGTGGTGCATTCAGATAAACAGCAATCGAAAAAAGTTCCATGGTTTTTTAACTAATCTAGTGGTGCATTCAGATAATCTGCACTTGAAAAAAGTTCCATGGTCTAATAACTAATCTAGTGGTGAATTGAGATAAACTGCAATTAAAAACAGTTCCATGGTCTTTAACTAATCTAGTGGTGCATTCAGATAATCTGCAGTTGAAAAAAGCTCCATAACTAATCTAGAGGTGCATTCAGATAATCTGCACTTAAAAAAGTTCTATAACTAATCTAGTGGAGCATTCAGATAATCTACAGTCGAAAACAGTTTCATAGTCTATAATTAATTTGGTGGTGCATTCAGGTAATCTGCAGTTGAAAAAAGTTCCATGGTCTAATAACTAATCTAGTGGTGAATTGAGATAAACTGCAATTAAAAACAGTTCCATGGTCTTTAACTAATCTAGTGGAGCATTCAGATAATCTGCAGTTGCAAAAAGCTCCATAGTCTATAACTAATCTAGTGGTGCATTCAGAAAAACTGCAACAAAAAAAAGTTCTATGGTCTATAACCAATCTTGTGGTGCATTCAGATAAACTGCAATTCTTTCTCAAATAGAATATTTTTTTCACTTTCTTTTTAAAACACATTCTCTTTTAAGCACACAAACCGATGACAAAAACATTCTCTTTTAAGCACACCCACTGCTGTGAAATACATTCTCTTTTAAGCACAACCACCGCTGAGAAAAACATTCTCTTTTAAACACGTTTGTGGTGAAAATTCTTTCTTAAATACAATATTTTTTTACTCCCTTTTCAAAACACATTCTCTTTTAAGCACACCCACCACTGTGAAATACATTCTTTTTTAAACACGTTAGTTGTAAAAATTCTTTCTTGAATACGATATTTTTTTCAATCTCTGTTTAAAACACATTCTCTTTTAAGCACACTCACCGCTGAGAAAAACATTCTCCTTTAAGCACACCCACCGCTGAGAAAAACAATCTCTTTTAACCACGTTTAAGGTGAAAATTCTTTCTTAAATATAATATTTTTTTACTCCCTTTTCAAAACACATTTTCTTTTAAGCACACCCACCACTGTGAAATACATTCTTTTTTAAACACGTTAGGCGTGAAAATTCTTTCTTGAATACGATATTTTTTTCACTCTCTTTTTAAAACTCATTCTCTTTTAAACACACCCGATGAGAAAAACATTCTCTTTTAAGCACAACCACAGCTGTGAAATACATTCTCTTTTAAACACGTTTGTTGTGAAAATTCTTTCTTAAATACAATATTTTTTTACTTCCTTTTTAAAACACATTCTCTTTTAAGCACACCCACCACTGTGAAATACATTCTTTTTTAAACACGTTAGTTATGAAAATTCTTTCTTGAATACGATATTTTTTTTCAATCTCTGTTTAAAACACATTCTCTTTTAAGCACACCCACCGCTGTGAAATACATTCTCTTTTAAACACGTTAGTCGTGAATATTCTTTTTTAAATACGATATCATTTTCACCTCTTTTTTAAAACATATTCTTTTTTAAGCACACCCACTGCTGCTGTGAAATACATTCTCTATTAAACACGTTATCTTTTCATCCCATTTTCTTTTCAACCCATTCCTCTTTAAACACAATTTTTTTCCTTATGTAAACATATCCTGTGTAATTTTTTGTACACAATTGCTCACATTAGTTTTTGCTTTTACAATTGAAGATTTAAAATTTAAAAAAAAGTATCATAAGTGTATACTATTTGAATAATGTTTTTTTAAATTTTTTAAAAAAAAAAAACTAAAATAATGTTTCAAAAGACATTTATCTTCAATAAAAGTAATTCTTTAAAAAGTCCCCAATAATCTCAAATTTTTTTTCTTTTTAAATAAATTCTAGGAATCGACTATAATTAAATACTTGAGCAAATACCAGAAAATTTTAAATTTCTTAACCAAAAGATAATTACATTTCTTCATATTGATATTAAGTAACGCTAAAATTTTATTTTCTCGAAATCTGCCGCTATTTTCTAATTCAAACAAAATAATAATAAAAAAAAGAAGTAAGGAAAAGTATTCATCCCAGACAAAAATGCAAAAAAAAAGGGGGGAAGAAAAGGAAAAAAAATCCCAAATACTCTCATGCCAAATGGAGCATACAATGTTGTAACCTACTCATCTTAAAATGAGTTCGTATCATTCGTATAAAAAGTGTGAGATGTTTTTCTTTCACAGATTTTAACGCGAAGATAAAAGCTAAAATGCAAAAACTAAAGAAAGAAGAAATGAAAGTTCCCTAAAGAATTTTCCCTCATTAGAATTCCTGGAACGCGCAAAAAAAAAAGTCTTTGTAAAATCATTGGAGTGCTTTTGAATCCTTTCTAGATTTGAAAGAATTTTATTTCTATAAAAAAAAAAAGAAGATTTTTTTTGGTTCTTTTTTTTATTATTTATTTCTTGACTTTTAATTTCCCACATTTCGTTGTTAAGCATAAAATTTACAGCAGAAACAGAAAATGGGTTTTTCATTATCTCTCAGTAACAGTTGCAGTTATATTGAGTCGTCGCTGATCTGCATAAATTGATTTCGAAACTCTTTTCATAGGGGAGGAAATTACTTTTTGTGTTTTGGCAACACGTAATCGCAACAGAAGACGGCGCCTATCTGGAAAGGAATACAAATTAAAGAAGAGGAGAACTTGAAAAACGACTTTTAAGCCTTCTATTTCATCAAATATCTATTCATACGGCAAAACAAATGTTTATGAAAGGATGACGACTGAAAAAATTTCCATTGTGCTTTATAAATTACTGTTTCCTTAAACGACATTTTTCTTTACTAAGTAAACATTCGAAAGAATATATACTCGATTGTTCGAGATAGTGAAAATTACTTTGATACTCCTTACTTTTTGATCAGTTTTAATATAAACAGGGTAGTGAAATATGATTGAAGAATAATTTGAATAGAGAATATTCGAATCGAGACGGCGGCTCAAAAACATGCATCTTCTTTTAGTAGTATAGTATTTATATATTTTTAATTGTCTTCATTTATTAGTAGCATCGAGTCGCGGTGGCTCAGAATATAGAGCGCTCGCCTCCAAATGAAGTAACCAAGGACCAACTTCCAGCAATGGCTGGTAGATCTGAATTCTGTATCTGGCTCGTACTGACGTAAAAATATCCTCAGTGGTAGACGGATTACGGGTTAAAATTCCCTTGCCATCGGGGTAACCATTGGAAGTTTTCGTAGTATTTCTCTAAATATAGCGTAAATGCAAGTTCTATCACAAAGTCCTCCACGAAGGCTAGTTTGTTCCAATCCTTGATTTAAGAGTTCCCTTTTCTTCTGCGTTGAATTCAATAATTAATGAATATTGATAGTTGTAATCTCAAAAATCAGTCTTTTTTTTAACTTCGGTTATAAAATGAAAAGAGTATTAGCATTAATAATTGTTTTTGAAATATAGTATTTAAAATTTATATAAAAGTATTTATATTTTTTATTCATTATAATTGACATGCAATGAGAGATATTTAATACAAAGCATCATTATCAACAAACTAAATTTATATACCCAATTTATCTACTTGAATTTTCCTACCTAGCATTGGTTTATCTAAATGTGATTATTCGTAATAAAGTAACTTTCTATTTTTGTTTTTAAATAAAATTTTCATTAAAATTACTAAACGAGCTTAAGTTTGGCCCACCATATTCAACGTGCTTGTCCCGTATGATGTTTTAAGACTCATTCGAACTTTTTAATAAAAAAAGAATAAAAAAAAAATAAAAAAAACCTTAAAGTGATTGATTGTATTAACAAAGGCGATTGTTTTTGAACTCTAACAGGTATCATTACCAGTACCAAATTGCAATATGAAAATAAATACAGAAATACTGGTGAATTAATCAAGTTTAGACGAGAAATAAATGATTTTTTTCAGTATTCCTTATTTTGCAGTCGTTTGGAAATCCCTTTAATTTAATTTATTCTCCCAGTTTATTGCATTTTTTATTGCTTCACTGTACTTAAATCTGTCCAGCTATAAGGATCTGAGAAATGGCACTTCAATAAAAATTACATGAAAAAAAAATTACCAATTGCAATAATTACCCATCACAGATTAAAAATTACACATCACAGGTAACCCATTAGCAAAATGGTTATTGTCTAATTTTTTTTATATCCTCTTTATTTGTGAAATTCACCGGTATTAGTATTGAAAACGACCCAGTTTGAACTGAAGGTTAGAATTTCAGATTCTGAACTAAAACAATAAAAACAAAAAAACATATCATTCAAATGATTAAGTTCTCTTTCATTCACAACTCATGAAGTATTTATGGAATCTCTCTGGTCCCATATCTCAAAAACAAACTCACCAATTTAATGCATAACAAAATTATAAGTGAAAAAACGAATTCTGAAAAAAATTATCAAACAGCAGCTGACGCCATAGCAACGCATGCAATGACGCACTGTTTACTATTACTATTGAACACAGTTGAAAAGTGTGATGACGTCCAAATAAGGTGCGCAAGCCATCAAACCCAAAACAACACCCATTTTGCCAATATTTAAAAACTTCAAGCATTTATTAACAGCTATTTAAGCATTTCAATAAAGAAATCATGTCTTACCTTCTTCTTGAGTAATCGCTTCAACAGGTTTAGAAGGTTCGCTACGACCGATTCTGTTTTCTGTTAACACTCGGAGCAAGTAGATTTTTGCAGGTTTCAAACCAGTTACCATTCCAGATGTTTCCGTTCCGGTAACAGAAACGTTTGTCATTCTATTATGCCATTTGCCTGAAAAAAAGTTCAGGCATAAATAAAACATGCTTTTGTAACAAAGGTTTACAATTAAAATGGATAACGATAATCTAATTAATATTATAGAAATAACTGAGATTTTTCAAGGAAAGATCGTACACGTAATAAAATTAATTTATTTTGCCCAATCTATAAATTTCGGAAAATCTTAGCGGATAAAGATACCAAATGAGAGTTTTTAAGAGTTTTCAACGATGAATAAGCTTCCGACTGCATTAGGCAACAAGCAGTTGACTATTAAGTTTTATTTTGAAAACAAATTTAATCTTAGCTGATAAAGATACCAAGTGAGAGTCTTTAAGAGTTTTCAACAATGAATAAGCTTCCGACTGCATTAGGCAACAAGCAGTTGTCTATTAAATTTTATTTTGATAGCAAATTTAATCTTAGCGGATAAAGATACCAAGTGAGAGTCTTTAAGAGTTTTCAACGATGAATAAGCTTCCGACTGCATTAGGCAACAAGCAGTTGACTATTAAGTTTTATTTTGACAGCAAATTTAATCTTAGCGCATAAAGATACCAAATGAGAGTCTTTAAGAGTTTTCAACGATGAATAAGCTTCCGACTGTATTAGGCAACAAGTAGTTGACTATTAAGTTTTATAATGATAGCAAATTTAATCTTAGCGGATAAAGATACTAATTGAGAGTTTTGAAGAGTTTTCAATCATAAATAAGGTTCCGACTGCAATAGGCAACAATTAGTAGACTATTGAGTTTTATTTTGATAGCAAATTTAAAAGCTAAGAATGCGAAGGCTTTGAATCGAACAATGTAAATGAATGTTAAGGGTTTTTTGGTTTCGTCACTTGGAGGCAAAATATAACCGTAAGATATTAACCTTGATGGACTATTTTCACCTTATCTATTTTACTCTCTTTAACTGAAAGGAAACTTAAAACTTTCATTTACTCCTATTAAATAACCTGGCTAACTTTATGTGGATTAAATATCGCAGTTTTAGTCAGATTAATTTTCTACAACAGATATGCTAGTTATGTGATTGAGGTTTTGTTTTATGGAGCAATCTGGAGGAGTAGTATTTAGTAATTATGAAGCACTTTCAATCTGTAAATTTAAATAGTAGATTTTAGTCAAAGTAATTTTCCACAAAAGATATGCAAGTTATGTAATAGAGGTTTTGTTTTATGGAGCAAACTGGAGGTGCAGCATTTAGTGATTTTGAAGAACTTTCAATCTGTAAAATTAATTGGTAGATTTTAGATAGATTAATTTTCCATACAAGATCTGATAGTTATGTGATTGAGGTGTTGTTTTATGAAGCAAAATGGAGGAATAGTATTTAGTAATTATGAAGCACTTTCAATCTGTAAATTTAAATGGTAGATTTTACTCGAAGTAATTTTCCACAAAATATATGCTAGTTATGTAATTGAGGTTTTGTTTTATGGAGCAAACTGGAGGAGTAGTATTTAGTAATTATGAAGCACTTTCAATCTGTAAATTTAAATGGTAGATTTTACTCGAAGTAATTTTCCACAAAATATATGCTAGTTATGTAATTGAGGTTTTGTTTTATAGAGCAAACTGGAGGAATAGTATTTAGTAATTATGAAGCACTTTCAATCTGTAAATTTAAATAGTAGATTTTAGTCAAAGTAATTTTCTACAAAAGATATGCTAGTTATGTAATAGAGGTTTTGTTTTATGGAGCAAACTGAAGGTGCAGCATTTAGTGATTTTGAAGAACTTTCAATCCGTAAAATTAATTTATAGATTTTAGATAGATAAATTTTCCACACAAGATCTGATAGTTATGTGATTGAGGTGTTGTTTTATGAAGCAAAATGGAGGTGTAGTACTCAGTAATTTTGAAGCATCAGTATTTAGGCATAATTTGAAGGTCAACTAGAGTCAGGAGAAACTATAATAGGCTGAAAGAGATTTGAGATCAGGTTTGAGTAAAAGGATGGCTCAGTTAAGATGGGTTGAAGTAGAACTAAAACGGATTGCAACTAAAATCAGCATGGCATTTTTATAAGTTTGTGACGTAACTACCACTGCATATATTAAATACCAATTCCTAGTATATAAGACATGTTAACTTGATATTATCTATAGGCAGCTTTCAAAAGACAAAGGAAGATATAGTCGATATTACGCTCATCATATTGGTGACCTCCAGACGTGATAAGAACTCGCTAATATCAATGGCTAGTTCAAAATTAATAGTTGATTTGCTCACAAAATATCGCTCAAAAAACCAGTGAAGTTAATAGAATTCTCCCGCCCAATAAATAAATAAAGAAAAAAATTATGGACGAAAATAAATAAATAAATAGCATTTATCAAATATTGGTGTTCGTTCATCGAATTCTATCACAAATAAAATTCTGGAAGGGGAATAACTACCACTATAAATATTAAATACCAATTCACTAGTATATAATACATATTAACCTGTGTCTATCTCGAGGTACCTTTTGATAAATGAAGGTTGACATAGTCGATAATACGCTTCCCACAAGTTTCTCTTTAGTTGCACAGTTAAATCAATTCAAAGCAGCACTGAATCCGATCAATTTATAGTGAAAGCGCCTGTTTGTAGCAGGAAAGAGTATTTAAGTTGAATTAAGAGTTTGGGACAATTCGTTCTGCAATAACAGAAATAGACGAATACTTTTTTTGAAACTGTATTTAAATTAGAAGCCTTATCGGTTAATAATGTAGATTTTGTATACTGAATATGTAGTTCTATTATAGATATTGTTTAAAATAGTACTTTTATTTTTAAAAAAATTCTTCTAGTACTTAAAGCTGATTTTTCTACAGACTGATAAGAAAGCCGTGATGGCTCAGGGGAACGAGCGTTCGCCTCCCAATGAGGTGAACCGGGTTCGAATCACACGATGGCTGGTCGATACGAATTCCGCATCCGGATTACACCGACCGCACTAATGATATAAAATATCCTCACTGGTAGATGGATCATGGGTAAGACTCTCCCAGCCGTCATGCTATCCATGGGAGGTTTTCGTGGTTTTCCTCACCATGCAACGCAAATGCCATCAAAAAAATTCTCCACGAATTTCTCCCACATGGGTTCCGGTCCCGCAGTGGACTGATCGTTAAGACACGGTTCCCAGCAGATCATCGAAGTCAAGCATCACTGGCTACGGCCAGTGTGCGGGTAGGTGACCACTTGGATCAGTCTGCGTAGTGAACGAGGGTGTGGGGTATGAGTCCTCGTTAAACTGTTCTACCGTAAAGTGCTAGACATCGCGTGCAGGTCGTCGGGCTACCGAAGCGGGGGTGCCATCCCCTCTGCAGAGGATCAAAATTGTGATGGCATGTCTTCGGATCATCCTCAGGGATGCTTCCTAGACCGTTGCCAATAGCCCATTGTGCAGCTCTAGTGCGACGTAAATTAACTACAACAATTACAACCCACATGGGTTCCCTTGTTTTCTGGATTGGGTCCAAAATTACAAGGCTACGGAATTGAACATTAGTTGTCGTAAACCCAAAAAATTGAGCTGGCTGTTCAACGACGGTTATAAAATAAAATAAAAATAAAACTGATAAGGAATTCCGACAATATTCTAATATGAGAAGGAAAATTTAAATGAATTTTTTTTTACTAAACGAGTAAATCTACAAAACTTTATTCGTTAATTATAATTCGATGCTAATTTAATATAAATTAGGCAACTATAAATACAAATGCTAATGTTTTGAACTTTGATATACAAGATATTCAACTAACTAAAAAATATTTTGTTTACTTATTTATTTTGCAAAGAAAACTCTACTTGGATGTAACAAGCGTAAAATATAACCATTAGAAGTTTTTATTTATTAATTATATTTTAATGGTAATGAGGGCAGTAATTAAACAAGTAATAAAAATAATATAATTTTGACGATTTTTTAATTGGAATTCTATGTTTCAAAAATAAAATAAGCTTCTTTAACTAAGTGACTTATATCGTAATAAAATATAATTAATAAAATCTCAAATGCGTGGAATTTAATAGTATTAATAAAAAAAAACAGACGGGTAGAGAAAAACATAAGAAAACGAGTTCAGAAAGTTTAAACAAATTAAACAAGATTTATTTCTTTAACTAAATAGTTAAGGGCATATAATTTAGAAACATAAAATGAACTTTTAATTTACTTAATAGTATAAAAAGAAACAATAGATTCCCAAATGTATATAATTTCTGCTTTAATTATACATTTCTAAGCTTTAAAATAGATTTACATAAATAAGTAAGAAGTTCAAAATAAATATTTATGTTTTAGTAAAATGTATCTCTTAAAAGTTTTTGGGATTTTTTTTTACCTCAAGGGTTTTAAACAAGAAACACGATGAAAAATATTATTGCATATTTTAATAGTATAAAAACATCTTCTTTAAACATACAGTCAATATGATGCTAAAAATCCAATTATTTCCTTCTCATAAAGCAGTAAAAAAGAAATTCAAAAGCAGTTAATAAAATAAATTGTGAAAAATAAACGTGCATATGCAAATGCAAGTGCGAATGCAAATCTAATGTACAGTGAGTAAAAAAAAACAAAAAAAACCCGAATTACCTTGAATAATTTTTGATCTAATAATCGGATCTTCACGTTCTAGCAATCTTAATGGCTCGAAAGGGGTGATCTAAAATACTCTAATTAATAAGTGCAGACGATATTTCAAATTGCGAAATAAGACACGAAAACGTACTTTCTCTGAATAAACATACCTTTTTATAGACGGATTCGAATTTCTGACCCCCTAGATGTAGGGGGTAGCCGTAATCAGAAAAATATGATCACAATAGTTTGGTCAGTAGAGAACTCCTAAGTTTGGACACCTTAATGCTAATTTTACTTTTTGAGAATTTTGCCATATCTCGAGTTATTTTTATGCGAATTAAAAATTTATTTGCATGCAATTATAATTTTTCTTTATCGAATGATAATTCTATGCAAAAAATAACTTCTAGTAAATATTTATTAT